TTAAATATAAATGGGAGAAACCCATTCTGCTTATTAAATATAAATGGGAGAAACCCATTCTGCTAATTAAATATAAATGGGAAAAACCCATTCTGCTAGAATAATTATCTGTGATGTTAACTTTACTTTTACATTCAGGACATGCGCTAACCAAATCAAATATATGTTTGATAAAAATAAAATTAACAAGAACAAAATAATCATTTGTGTTGGCATTATTTGTATCTTCGACATCAAACTTTAACTTTTTAGCTCTGATACATGCTACACCTTCAGACAAGTTATCAGTTATATTCGTATCTTTAATATATTTTCTGTGCTTATTACCACTAAACTTTCTCTTCTTAGATCTTGAGGTATTCTTATAATTATCCATTATATATTTAATTCATTAACCTAAAAAAAATATTTCAAGTAAACATTGTATAAACACAACTTGTGTAAGTATAATGATTTTGGTATAAAAATTGTAAGTAATCAAATGATCGTTAAATGATGCAATTTCAATAAGTAAGACAATTTTATTTTCAAAACTGAACATAGTTACCCTCTATACTAAATCTTTTATTATTGCAGAACACAAAAGCATACCAAAACAGTAATTAAACAATAGTTTTCTTACTGCTTTTCTCGGTTGCAATAGGCGTTGCTAAGGAAGCAAATTCATATCATACCTGCAAAATGCAAAATAGTAGCTTAAAAAATAAAAAATTATAAAAAATAATTATACCATCATTTTCAGTTTAAAATTCTCAAAAATCATATGTTTCAATTTCTTTTTTTTTTTGATTTTACCCCTTTTATTTCCTGTGAAGCCACCTTAAGCGATAAATTTCGCTAACTCAACAGATCGGATGGCATTTAAATTTAGAAAATAAGATGGAATTTAACGCTTTTTTCAACTACATATATGGGCCCTAAATCAGGCCCATTTTGGGCCCTTATATGAAGCCCACATAGTGCTCACTTGGGTAAACCCATATGGGGCCCAATAAAACATGTTCACTGGGCATAACATAAAGTTGAAATGTATCAGTAAAGTAATTTTTATGTCATATTAATGCTATATGTTATTTGTATTTTACAACTTCTTTGCTATTATAACTATTTATCTACTGTTCCAGTTAAACCTTATTACATCAACTAATAACAGTTACTTTTTTTACTAAACCTAAAACGTTACTTTTTTTTAGGTTTAGTAAGCTTACTACAATCAAAAATGGTTCAAAAATGTTTTAGCCTTATTGATAAAAACAATGGTAACATAATAATTAAGAATAGCTTTTTAATATTATATTTTTATAATAGTGTAATAGTAAGAATTAAAACTTTAAAAGTTAAAATGTAAGGCGGTAAGAAGTTGATATGAATATGATTTTATAGAAATGGAAAAAAATTTGTATTATATGTGTAAAATACAAAAATAAATTCCACCTTTGTTTTTGTGTTGTAGTATATTTTAGTAAACAGAAAAATCCTAATACAATAATTTATAATTTTTTATAGTTAATAACAATAATTTTTTTTGTTACACATTTTTTATATATGTTATTTTTTTATTTGAGAAGTATTACTTATGCAAAAACAAATTACTTCAGCATATATTAGTTAAAAACTATGACATTAGTTATAGTTTTGACAAAGTAAAATTTTTGAGTAAATTTTATCTAATAAGTTTACACTTATTTTGACAAGTTTATTTTTAAGTTTATGTTTTCATGTTATATAACGTAAAAAATAAAAATTTTTCTCCCCTGAGAAACTATTACTTGCAGATTTGATCAAATAAATAAAACAATATCTGTAATGTATCAAAAATATACAAGTTTTTGCTGTGTTTGGCCTGGGCTCCTGTGAATGGGTTACGGATGAGAATTGAGCTGGTTAAAAAATAATACGTCAACTTCAAAGAGATATGATTGGTATTTTAATAGCGTATATTTTTAACAGTTTGTTTTGGATTGTTTTATAAATATTAAAAAAGAACTTTTTAAAAGTACTTATATAGTAATGCGACATAAGCTGGAATAAATACACACTTGCAGGAATTTTCACTTAAATTTAATTTGGCGCTTCTTTGGTATTTTTTTATAACTTTTATTAACATGTTTATTTATAAGTTGATTAATTAATTCATTTTTTTTCTAACAATAGACCATACATGGTAAAGCATGTTTGTTCTTCATGCAATACCATTTTAATAATAGTTTTAATAAATTGTATATAGTAGCATGTATTTTCATGTTAAACCATCAGTCATAAACATAACGTTTTAAATTTTAAACGTTATGACATCAGTCATAACGTTTAATATTTATATTTATTTATAATTAGTTGTTGAACTTTTTTCAGAATTTGCTATGAAATAAATTTAATATAGAATCATAAACTGTAACCCAAAAGTAACATGAAATTAAGAAAGAAGTTTTGGTCGAAATAATTAATTAAGTTCCTTCGTTTATGTTTGAATAATCATGATAATTAATGTAAATATTGTACATTCTTATAATTGGATTAACTATAATTAGATTTCGATTGCGATTTAACAAATTAAATAAAAGAATTATAGACTTGCTATAGTTATTTAAAAGCTATTTAATTTTTTTAATTTTTTACTTTTAATGACTAACTCGCTCCATTTTTTTAAAGTTTAACTTTTTTACATTTTTTGAGTTTTAAAGGACATTCGTAACTATCGGCGCGATTAGAAATTCACAAATCACTAACTATATACTTATTTCATTACAAAGATGAAGGTTTTTAATCTATACTGATTGTGCACATTTTATTATTATATTTGTTTACTGGTGGTATTTTAAAAACGTATAAGTTTGTTATGAAATTAAAAAAACGAAACTTTTAAACTCAATCCCGTTGAGGCCATAAATTCCTTATATACTTTTGATCTCAGACAGATCACCCACTTCAAGCACTAGCTATTTAAAAAGGATTTATGCAAGGTTAGCTAACTTTCACGGCCATTCATGAAAGTTAGCTAACCTTGAAAAAATTTTTTCTCACCTCCCCCCATCATGTAGAAGAACTTCAAATACCCGTAGCCATAAATAAAACTGTTAAGACGAAGAATAAACTATTTAAATATCTGAATTAGAGCTCGTATATTGTTGATGCAAATAATGAGACTAAATTAATAGAGTGGTTGGGATACCTGGTTAGAATAACAGGCTCCATTGGTTCCCAAAACTTGTAGGAACCAGATTGTCCATAAAATGTTAAAAAATAGTGAGGTAAGGATAAAATTATATCACTTTTATATACCTTTATGCAAAAACAAATAAGTTTCTAGTTAAATTTTAAAGTTAATTACAATTTAGATTTTTGAGAATTGTGGAGACAATTGTGAACTTACGGAAAAATATCAGAACTTCTGTGGTTCGATACCTGCTCTAGCCATATTTGTGACATGAAGCAGGCGTAAACTTTTTGTTAAATGCAACTTCACGGTACTCTGTGATGTGATGTGTTGGTCTTCTCGAAGCAACTAAAATATTCACACAAAAAGTTTATATGTTAATATTTTAAATATATTAATACAATTTGATCTGGTTTAATTTACAACAAAAAATCAAAACCCTTTTAACAACACTTTTAAGGTAACCAATTAGGCTTTTGATTTTTTGCTCCAATAACAGTATTTTTATAAAAAATACATCATTCGTGACCAAAATGAGGTGAAAACAAAGTTTGCCGCCTAACTGGAACTGGCCTTGTAGATCAATAAAAAACAATTTTAAAATAAGTTAATTTATCTGTAAAAGATAATATATATTTCTTATAATGAAAAACGCTGTGTTTTTTTTTGGTACAGGATCATGTAGTGAAAGTATTATTAAAAAAAATTAGTGAATTTGACATCAGAATCTATTTCCGCTATTTCTTGGAAATTTGATCAAATTTAGCCAACAAAAGAAAACAGCGTAGCTTCGAACAACATCAGGGCAAATACTTCAAGACAAAAAAAAAAAAAAAATTTATATATAAATATGACCTCTACGCCAATCCGCATAAAAATTGGTTATCAAAGAAAAAAAAAAAAAAAAATTATGGGATTTGCTAGTAAACACTTTCCCAGTGGGCACCGGACGAAAAAAAGACGTCTTTTGAACGTTCAAAAGAAGTCCAAAACGTGTATAAGACGTTTACAAGACGTCTTTTTTTCGTTTGTGTCCACTGGGTTAACTGTCTGCAACTGAAGAAGTTTATACAACGTTATAAATTGTGTCATATGCCATTGAAGCCTCATTTCTTTAGTATTTATTTTTGTATTGTATTTTTTCTTTGTATTATTTTATAACAATATAATAAATTTTATGTTTAAGTGATTTAATAGAATATCATCATGATCACCCAACTACAGGTAAAATGTAACCTGTATGTTCCATATCCTGCTGCTATTGCGTAATGTCATTTGTGAACAGTCCCGTAAGAGGCCTTATACAAGGCAGTAGTTTGATGCAGTTAACGTTAGACCACTATTGGAGTTTTTGTTGAGACAAAACCTTTCTATATGAAAAACATCTATATTGAAATATTACTTTTTATTCTTTTTTATAATAATTAATAACTGCTATCTAATATGAATTACAATTAAAAATTTCTTACAAACTTTTAATAAAATAATTCGATTCAACACTAAAAAGCAATCCACCTATCTAGTTCTAATGAAATATAAAGATTTTAGTTAAACAGTGGATTTCTGTTTAACCGTATTAATAATCTAAATGCTTTTATAATTTTTTTTTTTTAAGTAAAGAAAACTAATATAATTCAATCCAAAATTAAATATAGCAAGTTATCCGTAAAAAATTATTTAGAAAGTTACAGCGTTATACAAAAGTTTTAGGTGTAATGTATAAAGCAAATAATAAATGTTTTCAATATATGCAATATTTATAACAATATATCCAGCAAACGAGAAACTTGTTTTGGAACAAAAATTTATCTAATTTAGATTTGATCTCATATATAAACCGCTTTTATAACTAATGTGTGTGAGTATTGTTTCAGAGTCAAATAACTATTGTATTTTGAAATAAAGTATTTAAGACTTTCATGATTTGTCATTTAGTTTATCTAAATTTATATCCAAAGACAGTTGGTGTGTTGATTATACAAGTATGCTTATTTTATTATTTTTTGCAATTAAAGATATATATATATATATATATATATATATATATATATATATATATATATACATATATATATATATATATATATATATATATATATATATATATATATATATATATATATATATATATATATATATATATATATATATATATATATATATATATATATATATGTATATATTCCCTTAGTTAAAAGAACAATAGAAAAACAAATAAAAAATTATTAGCAGGACAATAATTATTATAGACAACTTATTTTATAACCAAGTTCTGTTATACTCTTATTATGTATTCAAATTTTAATACATAATAAGTAAAGTAGTGTAGTAATTACTTACTAAACTTTTGCAAAATACTTTAGGAAATAATACTTTTATTGAATAATTTAATTAAAAAATAAAATATAAATTAAAATGTAACGAAACAGATATAACTGTGAGAGTTATATATCTACAAAAGCTTGAATTACGTTTTATTTAAAATAAATAGTTTATGAACGTATTCAAGATTGGTTTTAATTTATAAACAAAAATTTTTTAAACAATACTTGTAATGATATTATGATGGTTTGAATAGTTAATTAATTACCTTGACCATTTAACTGTAGTTAAAAAAGAAATCAAAACATCTATATTGAAGTTTAATTGAGGTTAATATTTTTTTAGATTCAGTTTTTGAAATAGTGAAAGTCTCATATTGAGTTAAACAAAAATAGTGAATATTAATAAAAATAATGAATATTAATTATTATAAATATTGAAAAACCTAAAGTCATGTTAAATAGGTTGAAAATAAGCATTTCTATTTGTCCCAACTATTATACTGCAAGCATGCCTATGTTTACCATATATTGTCTTTATTTTCATGAATATAACCTCCGGCAAAAAAAAGAAAAAAATAACTGTGTATGGCAAAAAAATTTTTTTTTATAACATAAAACTATTTTTTAGAAACGTATAACATAAAACTATTTTTTAGAAACGAATTAATATATTTAATATGAGTGTATAAAATTAAGTATCATACTTTTAGTTTAGTTTTTATTGTTTACCATGAAGTTTGAATTAAATTTCCTTTTAATTGACTGAATATTAGTGCTTTTAGTAGGTTTATAGATTAGAGTAAATTTAGTTTTCTCTACAATTTATAAAAGTGGCATTCTAATAAACCAAACTTTAAAAAAAAATGTCTTCGAAATTTGTTTTAAAAAAAATTCAAATGTCTTTTCAAAAATTAGGCAGACACTTTTACTTTACAAGTTATTAGAACTTTGTTTAAAATCTTTAATTCTTTTAATAAAAGTTGCTATCTGTCAAATATTCTCAAAATCATAATAAGCTTTGATTTTTAACTCCATGGTGTTCTATTCTATTTTACAGTATTTCACGGTTTCACTTTACCGAAAACTTTGGATAAACTAATAACAAAATTCTATTTTATCATAATTACTTATTAATGGATTTAATATATGCTTAAATAATTAGAGATCTGTAGAATTGTTTTCTACAGTATATTATTTTTTGTTAGATGGTTATAAAACCTGTTTTACATAATGCTTTTAATTAGTTTTAAAAAGCAGGGCAAAACTGAAATAAGTCTCCAGTTGAAGACTTAAGTTGCATAATAAAATTTGAAAATAGGTGTAGACTTAACATTTTTTAAATCCGAAAAACAAAATGATTTTAGTGAAAGGTTAGAAATAAGAAGTTAATATGACTCAATAATAAGAAAAATATATTTATATACATTGACAGTAATTTGATCTATACCTAAACATTTGTGGCACTTTTATATGTACTTTTAAGTTCGTCTTTAGTTATAGTAATTATTTTAAAATATAAATCATAACATTTTTACCAAATAGATTTGCAGTTACTTTTGGAACAACATGAAAGTAAAAATCTCTTAGTTTTTTAGTTTTTTTAAATCATTTTTTCAGCTTATGTTATTAGCTTCATTTATGTAAAATTTATGCTTTAAATTTTTTTTCATAAAAAATTTGTTTCTCTTGATAATTTAATTAAGTCTTTTGTAATCCATGGGCAAAGAAACGACGTAAAATCTATAAATTGTTTTTGGGTAGAAAATGCCATATCATAAATTTAAAACTATTAGTTTAAGAATTTACCATTAATACATCATTTAATAAAACAATTATAATAAAATAGCATGATTGTTGCTAAATAAGCAAAATATCTTCAAGCTGTCTTAAATCACATTTTATATGTGACATTGTTTAGTTGACTATCAGATTTAAGTTAGGCCTAAAACTCAATAAGATGTTTATATTATTGCAAATATATATGGTAATTAAGAACACAAAACCTTTCCAAATTGCTAAACGAGAAAAGCTGTTAAACAAGTATATTGTTTAGACATCTCATATAACTTGATTTAACAATTCATTAAAACTCAGTGTTTTCTAATGTAAACATTTAAAAAAAATTTATTCATTTATGTGTTATGTCTATATATTTTAATTAGTAAGTGTAAACACATCAGTTGAAATAAAAAAATTTAATTATATGTCATTTTTCTTGCCAGTTTTTAGCATGGAAAATTTATAATAAACTTTTGTGCTCATACAAAAATGAAAGCAATCCTTTAATCAGTTCACAAAATGATTTAACATTAGGTTTTATGTCAATATTCTTATGTTGTTTAACTAGATCATTTTGTTTTAAATTAAAATTCCTTTTTTAGAAATGTTTTTAAGTAAAATAAAGTTCATAAAAAGTTTAAATCTTTGTATATATTTCAATGATCGTGTACAACAACCTTTTACAAAAACTTGTTCAAGGAGCGAGGAATATTTTTAATTGAACTTTACTCTGAAACCAGTGGTTTTGTTTAAAAATGTTAACATTAAATCTGTTTTAACGTTATATATATATATATATATATATATATATATATATATATATATATATATATATATATATATATATATATATATATATATATATATATATATATATATATATATATATATATATATATATATATATATATATATATATATATATATATATATATTATCATATTCGCTTTTAACAAGGCTACAAGCAACCACTAATTGGAGTTGGAAGCTACTGGTAGCGAAAAGATGAAGAGCAAAAAATTGTAGAGCAAGATAACAGTTGATAGACGATTTAAAAGATTGTAAATTATACGAATCAGAAAAGCAAGAAGAAGGGAAAAAATTCCAAAAAACAGAAGATCAATGAAAAAAACTAGAAGAATTTGAATTTTTGGAGCTCTTAGGAACAGACACAGAAAAAAGATGAGACTTAATTGAATGACGAGTATGAATCAAGTAAGTAAAAGAAAAGTACACGAAAATGAATTTTATTAAATGACACAAGATATGCTAGCTCTCTAGGGCAGTGTCTGTTATAATAGTTGCAGAAAAGAGAAAGAGAAGCAACATTACAAAGATTAGAGGTTGGCTGCAAGAGCAGGTCCAACTATGTTTATAATGCGTTTTTGCACCTTGTCTAAAAGAAAAAGATCACCATTAAAAGATTCGCCCCAGATATGGAAACAGTATTCTATACAAGGCCGGATTTGAGATTTATAAAGATAGAGAGTAAGAAAGTGTCAAACTCGATAAAGAAATGCAACCTAAGCAGATTCTAATTTTCCTACAGATTTGATATTTGGTTTCCAAGAAAGATAGGAAGAAAGAGTCAATGTCAAGTGCAATGGCCTTAACCTCTCCATCTTTTTCTAATGCACAATAAAACCTATCGGTTATTACTGTTAGCAAATTAGTCGTAAAACGAGGAGATCGAAATCCATATTGATAATCAGAATGTAAGTTATTAGATTCAAAATGAGAGATTAAGTTATTGTTAATTAAAGATTTAAAAACCTTGCTTAAGATAGTTAGAAGGCTGATGGGACGGTAGTTAGATGAATCAGATTGTTCTCCAGAACTTTTGAAAATAGGGATAAGAAATTCTGCTTTCCTGCAGGTTGGAAAGCCAGTCTCTTATAAGCACTTGTTAAATATTTTTGGAAGTATAGACGACAGCTCTGGAGAACATTTCTAAAAGACTATAACATGTATGTTGTCCGGCCATAAACTGTAGAGGTTAAGCAGGAAATCACTTTAGATAAAGTGGCTGGAGTGATACGAATGTCAAGCAATGGATCAACCTGTTTGATGGCTAAATCAGATAGAACACAACTAGTGGAATGAAGAGATGATAAAGATGAAAAGTTCTTAGCGAACAATTCAGGTTTGTTTCTATGGATACAAAGTCTGTACAATAGAAGAGAGGTAGAGTAAGAAATTTGTCCTTATTATTGATATTTTTCAGATATCAGGCGAGCCTTATTTTTGTGAATATATACGACCTGAGAATAGCGGGCGTTGGCGTTAGACAAAACTTTTTTTCAACTGCTTTTATTATTATTTTTTTGTATCTATTTAGGTGCTTCCAGAAGTCCTTATGGTCTTATCATAGAGCACCGCGGGAGAGGATTTTACAGGAAGTTCACGCCTTCTTCCGTACCAATGTCGCTTGTTGGGCTAGAGCTGGCATCAAACCTCGGACCTCTGGGTTCTGAGCCAGAACTCTAGCCACTGCGCCACGGCTGCTATATAACAGTAATAAACGGAGATCTGTAACAGTAACAGCTGCACTATAACAGTAATAAATGGAAATCTTTAACGGCTGCTCTATAACAGTAACAAACAGAGATCTGTTTTTTTAAGAATTGTTTTGCTGGTATGTATGAAAGTAACATTTCGATTGGTAATTGCAGCAGCGCAATTTGAGTAAAACCATGGAGAAGAGTGAGGCTTGACCTCGAGTCGTCAGCAGAAAGAATTCTACCCAAGGGCCATCACGAAAAGAATTACGGAAAGAGTCTTAGTCTGTTCTAAGGTAGTTGTGAGAGGTGCGATGAAAGAGGGGTTTAAAAGATGAAGCAAAATAAGATAATAGTTTTAAAAAGATTATAATGTGATTA